TGGGATAAAAGGTCTAAACAATCGTTTTTTATATCTATTAAACACAAAGTCCACAAAGCTAACATAAACGATAAATAAAGTATAGCCGACAATTTGTGCCCCAAAGTCTTTTTGTCAGATAAAACTGTAATGACCTTCCAAACTATAGAAAAATACTGTGAACTATTTGAAATCATTGTTAACGGCGTCAAGGTGTGGGATAAAAGGTCTAAACAAACATTATTTATGTCTAATAAACACAAAGTCCATCAAGTTAACACACAAGATATATAATAATAGGCGTCATCCAAAACATGTCAGCCACTTCACACATGACAACTTAAGCTGATTGCCGTCATGCATTGTATCTTAACGAAAACATTTACTCATGATATACTTGTGTAAAACCCCAAAATTACTTAGCTTGAGGGCGGGTAACTATAAACTTTTTATGATTTATCTCTTAAAAACTATTAGGTATGATAAATTCTTGAATTCATTGGAGTTTTTATACAAACAGTGTCTCCATTGTACAAAAAGAAAATAGTGACGCTTGGAGCAATCATCTTTCTTAGAAGGCCACTACTCCTAAAATTACCCTAGCTTGAGTACATGTAACTATAAACTTTTTATTGATTGCTCTTAAAAATTTCAGGTATGGTAAATTCTTAACTTCATAGGAATTATTGTACAAACTGTATCTCAATCCACATACTGAACGACTATTCAATCAATTTAGGGAGACCGGCTAGATCCGATGGGGGACTATCCAATAGGTCACGCCCCGGGCCTGCGAGCCCGTTGGTGCGATGTAAGTTATGGGACCCACGGAATGCAACACATGGTTTGGCTCAATCCACTGTCAAAAAATTAACTAGTCAATGTTACATTTGGCTCTCATGACCTATCATTTAAACTATTCAATCACTCAATCAATATCCAATGTAGGACTAAATTTGGGGGTATCACCGTCCGTTTGGGTTTTCCATCCGATCTCTTTTTAGCATATGACATTCTCGATAAACTAAGACTTCATCAGTAAATGTGGATTCTAGGGACAATCCTCATGGAGTCTAAAGGAGGCTCCCACTAATTCATGAGATCGCTCCCATCATATCATTTATACGGTGTGACAGTTTATTCCATATAGTGTTCCATGTGGCACTTAGTTATGCATGCTTTCAGTTGAATATAAGCTTTATTATCATTTATAATGACTAGAGCTACGAGCTTCCCAAGAGGTTAGCCATTCGGAAATTGCTCATGTCCGAACAAGCTTGATATAGAGTTTGCAATGATTCCTCCCTTAAAAATGCCGGTTCTGATACCCTTCAGCTCATAGGGATTATCCAGAGACCAGCCTTATGCATATCCACATTAGGAATATTCAGTCCATTGGAGTAACCCTCTACACACATCCAATGTTAGGTTGAGTTGGGGAGGCAAACCTCATTCACGTAATTGGAAGAAAGGAGAAAGAAAAAAGGAAAAAACGAGAAAACCTTTCACATAATTGAAAAAATGTAGCTCAAGAGTAAAGGAGATCTTAAGTATTAGGCAGAGTTAAATATTGGATCGTGACCATCAATAACAGTGGGAAACAACCTTTTCTGTGAAAGTATATTTGTTGTGAGGAAGCATGACATGTACCTTGTTGCTCAAGTGATTTAAGGCCCCATGCTGCTCCGGATAATTTGTAGTGAAGAGGTCAATGGGAACCAAGGGTTTAAAAAAAACCTAATAAAAATCTAATTGGAAGAACCGAAATTCTATTGGTCATGCTTGGGTAGAAAATTATTCCTCCTGTTGGAAGCTCCGCCTCTAGACAATGGCAATAGGAAAAGGTGCAAGCCAATTATTTGGCAAGTTAATCAACCTACAAGTTCTGTAAAAATGGTAGTGAAAGATAAATGGAATAGCAATCCACCAAAGATCTTTAGATGCATTTTGTATGCATGATGCATTACAGTCCCATCTAACATCAGATTACCAGGAACCTAATTCCCAAGCATCAAAGTTTGTGTAATGCTGCATTATACGGTTATACCATTTAGTATATAATATGGCCATTTTACACAATCGTGATTGGGTCCATCAAAAGATTATCAGAATTGTGACTCTTCTTAACATAGGTCTTTTCCAGAGTAAAATGTATTTGTTCAGCAATAGTAGAGGTAGTGATGGTGTGTAGCAGAGGCGGTAGAGATAGTAGAGGTGGCAATAATGGTTTAGGTGAAGATGATGGTGGTGATTGTGCAACATTAGGATTACAACTTAAAGTTAGTGATGGTCATGGCTTTGGGAACAGCAGTGGCAGCAGGCAGTGTATGGGGAAGCAAATGCAGTCACGGCATAATGGGGTGGCACTGGATTCAATGCTGACAGTGCAATGATGGTGGTCGAGAGTGGGGTGTAGAAAGGAGACAGACAAGGGACGAAAAGATGCGAAAAAGTAGGAATTTTTTGGGAACTAAGACATTTAATAACATTCACACCAGGTGAAAATGCAGCAAGTACCAACAAAGATGAGAGGTATTGGCCAAAAAAATTGTCGAAAATTTAGATATGAGAACTAACCGTATATTTCTTCTGAATAGATGTACATTTAGCCCATATGTATGGTTTTTATTCATATTTGAAAGGGCATAACCTTCACTAACCGTATATTTCTTCTGAATAGATGTACATTTAGCCCATATGCAAAGATTGCAATAATAAATAAAGAGCAGTGAAATGGAAAACTCAAGTCACAAAAACACAAAGTTTAAGATGATCAGCTAGGTCGTACCTGAATGTGATTGACAATATCAGCGGCTGCCACCCTTGACCCTGCCTCATGCTGTCTCAATATCCATTGGTATACTTTTTCCTGCAGAAATACAGAGCTTCTTTCAGCATGTATTAAGCTTGTTATAGCAGTTCAATATACATTACTAAGAGATGCATTATAGCGAACATTCCCAAAAAAACTACAAAAATGGAATCCTGGAATTAAATTTATTGATGATGGTTTACAATCACAATTTAGTATTGGCAGAGGGACTTTAAAGACAGTTTTAGCGGTTTCAGATAAATATTATCAAATTATTAGCATCAATAGATGAAAAACCAAAATTTCTAACAGTTTTAGCGGTTTCAGATAAATATTATCAAATTATTAGCATCAATAGATGAAAAACCAAAATTTCTAAAATAACCAAATACCTTCTTATGTTTTCCACAAATTATTAGCATCAATAGATGAAAAACCAAAATTTCTAAAATAACCAAATACCTTCTTATGTTTTCCATTTTTCAATTAAAATTAAATTGAGACAAAATCTTGTGCAATCCAACAGCAAAAATTTCTAAATTGATTTGGCAATTTGATTATTAATCTAAGAATCTAAGATACGTTATATCCTGGAGATGTTAACAAAACGTCTCAATCTAATACTGACTATTGAGTTTTCAGGAATATCGCTGTCGTCACATTCCCTCCACGGGCTCCACCGAGAAATCACCATAGGTAGTTGCTACATTTTCATCTGGTGTAAATCCTTTAACTAAAGAGAATGTAAACCGCTACAGTAGAAAGGCCTTACTGAGATAAAAAGATGAGCCTGATGTAATACAGTTTCCATTATCGGGCTAAAACCACCTTCAATAAAGAAATTAATCTAGCCAACAATTCAATTCTTTATTATCTTTTTCTAGTTGATTTGATTTCTCTCCTATCAATCTGAAGAAGAATGGTGTTGATCTTCAACAAATGGAAGTTCTCCGTTTTGACAATTTCAAGTGATTATCTTTTGAATATTGCATGGCATAACTCAGAGTTAAAAAAAAAAATCACTCAGTGATTCTTCTTTTGGTTTTCCCTATATAATACAATACTAATAAATTAAACTCCGTTAAAAGCAGCACCCCCAAATTTCCTCGAAATTCCTCACTCGCGAAAATTCCAACCCATTAACTGATCCAAAACACGTTCATTCATCAGAATAAGTAAGCACATAGCCATAAGCAAACCAAACATCAAGCTTAACAACATAATGGAAATTATAAAATCACCGAAAAAAATACAACAAGATTCGAACTTTAAGCATAAGAAGAGGAGAAAGGAGGGAACTGACCAATCCATGGCGCTCTCCGGCCTGAAAAGAGATCTTCTGCTGGTTCATGGCCTGCGTGTAGAGCTGCGAGAGGGAGTTCGCAGCGCTGCAGAAGGTCGAATGCATGCTTCGATCGATCTCGTCGAGCCTCGATGCCTCTGATTTCCTCTTCCTTCCCATTTGAATCTCGATCGAAATCAAAGGATCGATTCAATTCGAAACCCTAGAACTTTACGCGAGAGAGAGAGAGAGAGAGAGGGCGAAGATTATATTGCTGACATCGGGTAACCGCTGGAGTTTCCAGATGAATTTGGGTTGTATGATGCGGGCATTACACCCACGAGGATTCGGATCCGCGAGTGATAGTGTGAGGCCCGTTGGCGCCGTCATGGGCCTGTTGGTGGCTAGGCCCATAGAGCAAGGAGAGCAAGGACTGCTTTTGCATCAGATCAATGTGACTCTATTAAACCATTCCGAAGTTTATGATGAGATATTTAAACTAAATTTCATAAAACTCCCTTAAACTTTAAGAAGCCCTCTCAATTCTTTTGTTCTACTGATCACGTCCGAACTTTGGAGTATCTCGCGACATCACTTCCCAATGAAAGTCCTAACAGTGTAGCTTGTTGATCGCTTGACACTATTTTATTAAGAGGGTTTCGCGGGAAAATATCATAGGAAAAATGAAGAGTGGGAATAAAAATACTATATCTAATATTAGTTACCAACTCAAGTGCTTTTTATTTTATTTTTAGTTTTTCAGGGCAAAAAGTTTACAGAAAAAGGTAAGAAAATTTTTTAATCCTTGGTTTTCTACTTGGAAAGCATTGGCTCCATTTTTAATTTTCACTTGATTTACGGGGCCGAAAATACGCCTTTACAATGGAGAAGGAACGGTTGTGTTATTAAATCAATGTTTATTTTTCTTGAACATTATTGATTGATAGAGTGAATTACGTCACAACTCATTTCCAAATGTTTTGAGTTTAACATTCCATGAGCTTGCCATGTTAGCTTTTTTATTTGCTAAGGGGCTGTTTGGTTGCACACTTTTTGAGAAAACTTTTCTCAAAACATCTGAAAATGGTAAATTTATAATTAAAAGTTTTCCAGATATTTCTGTAAATTGTGTTTGGTTCAACAAAAAATTTACAGAAATATTTTCTATAAAATATCAAAACCTACCAAATTTTACAAAAAGCAATTTCCTCTCAAAATGAGAGGAAATCACCAGAAATCTGACACATACCATATTTAATTAAAAACCTACCAAATCTTGTTATTTTCTATAAAGTTATGAGCTATTTTCTTGTTTTGAACCAAACAAGCAAAGTACAAAAAACAAGAAAATTGGTACTTTTTGATTTCTCAAAACTTTTCCTATAATTTTTTTAAGAAATACAAGGAAATCATATTTTAGGTGGAAAACATTTCCTCTAATTTCTAGAAATTGAACCAAACACCCCCTAATTACATGACACGTGGGACACGTGGACAAGAAATCTTAATCGTTCTCTGCTTCCTAAATTGTTGGCACTTGACTTTTTTACCAAATGCAAATAATCTTTAGTATCAGATTAATTGATGATTATTGCCGGCTAATCATATTGAAATATTTGAAACCCTAATTTACATTTACCAAAATTTCTAGACCTTTTAAATTTTGAAAATGAGAGGGAAAATATAATTTTGGTATCTGTTTTTATTTTAATAAATATTTTAAAAACCGTCTACGAGATTTCAGGAATCAATATTCTTCAAATATATGAACATATCTCATCGACTTGGTTCCTAATACCGTAGGGGTAGGAGAAATTTTGAAAACAGATCCCTTTGTAAAAATATTCCCAAAAAAAGACCCGTTTCCACTTTATTTTTAAAAAACGACCTAGTTTTAGCCTCATGACTGAAACTGGGTCGGTTTTTGAAAAAAAAAGTTCTCAAACTTCACGAGAGTTGAACTCCCGTGAAGTTTTGTTATGTAAAAAACTTCACGGGAGTTCAACTCCCGTGAAGTTTGGGAACTTTTTTCGCAAAAAACGACTCAGTTTCAGCGTCAGGTCTGAAACTAGGTTGTTTTTTGCGAATATTTTCAAAACGGGTCTTTTTTTAGAAATATTTTTGAAAGAGGTCTGTTTTCAAAATTTGCCCCGTAGGGGTATGATTTCAAACATGAAATTTTATTTATTTATTCAATTGATTTATTCACGAGCTATAATGTTGTTATTGACTCGTCTTTTTATTCACGAGCTATAATCTTGAAAAAATATGAACCAACCAGATATAAAATTCAACAAGCACATCCCTCACGATGCTTCAATCTCCCAACGTCGCACTAAAGACATCCTTCGTGAGACGATGAGAGATCTTTGAATTGAAAGGAATTATGCTTGGGCATGTTTAAGTTTTGATTTTGTATAAGGTTGATTTGGTCAAATTTTCAAATTATTCGTATCAGATTCTGAATTTGTTCTCAAATATTCGTATCAGATTCTGAATTTTTTATTGTTTAATTTATTCTCAAATATTCGTATCAGATTCTGAAATTTTTTTATTGTCCAAACTCAAAAATGCTCGGAAGATGCAGGGATTATTAATTTTCTTATTTATGATTTAAATTTGATTTTATATTCGTTTAGTTGATAATTATTCCAAAGAAAGAGACGGTGCTAATTCTGTATGGTGTAGAGAATTTTACAATAGGAGCAATGTGACTATTTTTAATTAGTAGGCAATTGTGTTTGATGCTCTGATATTTGTTAGTTTGTATTTGTCATCGTTTATCTTTTGGAGTTATTTGCATTTTAATACACTCAAACTGTGACTTGAACAGTTGAACCTAAGTCTTTTTTTTTTTGGGTGGAACTTAAGTCTTATGGTAATGGACGTGGCGAGAGGTTATTAAGCCTCTTCTTAACTTTGCAGGATTCTTGATAAGATTAGTATTTATTTGTTATTTGCATATTTTACTGGGACGCATACTCTAAAGAAATATTTACTTTCCTTTTATTAGCAACGAATACAAAATTTTGACTATGTTAGATATTTGCATGTTATTTGCATATTGTACAGAGCTAAATAATGTCTAGAAATATTTTCTTTTCATTTCTATTCTATTTATTTTGCCACAAAATATATTTAATTTTCCATGATTTTTTTTAGTTCATGAATAATTGTAGTAGCATAAGCATATGTTAGATATATAAGCTAATGATGATTTGTGTTTCTTGCAAATAGTAAGTGTTTTTTTGTTTATTAAGTTAACTTGAGACTGTTGAAAATCGCATGAAAACGCAGCAGGATGTTCTCTGGTTAGTCGACCAATGCACTCTTATCGGTCGACCGATAAGAGTGCGTCGGTCGACTGATAGCGGATACGGGCTGAATTGATTTCCCAGCCTGTTTTGGATTTGAGTTTGATATAAATAGAAACACGTTTTCTAGGGTTTAGAGAGAGAGAGAGAGAGAGAGAGAGAGAGATTTAACAGAGAAAAGAGGTTGTTTTAAGCACTTTGAGAGGAAGATTATTGTGAGAGAGTGAGATCTTTTGTTAGGGTTATTTTGAGTGTTTGAGAGAGTTGTAACCCATTGTTTTTCTCCTCCATATAGTAAAATCTCCCCATGGAAGTAGCAATTTGCCGAATCACGTAAATTCTCTGTGTTTGTGATTGGTTTTGGTCATTCTCATTGTGAATTGTCCTCGTGGTGTTCTTCTTGCATTGTTTACCTACTCGTCGTTGGATTGTGCACGCTTCCGTCGGGCGCAACAAGTGGTATCAGAGACGGATTTCAGATCTAGGGTTTGATTTGGGTGGAGAAAAACTCAGTGTTGGAAGCTTGGATCATGGAGATCTAGGTTTCGGTGGAGATACATTGCAGAGTTGCCATTGAAGATCTCGCCTTTCTCGTGTGGTTGAGAGGTCGTTTTGGAATCCTATCTAGGGTTCAAGTTGGGTAATTTCACAAATCTATCAAGTTCAAAGCTTTCCTCTATAATCTGGAGTTAGTAAGCAATGGCTGGAGAAAGTGGTGAAAGTAGCAAGGCTGCGTCGAGTACAGTTCAGGTTGCACTTCAGAATACAAAGATTAGTGTTGTGAAGTATGACGATAAAATCAACTTTGGGTTGTGGATGAGTAATGTGCAGGATGCATTGAATGCTTAAAACTTGGAAGAGACGATTATGACTCATGAGAGGCCACCAAAATATTATAAGGTGATATGGGATAAGATAAATTGAAATGCTTGTAGGGTAATCAGATCTTGTTTAGAACAAGAGTTGAAGTATGATGTGATTGGCGTGACGTCTGCGATGAAGATGTAGGAGATTCTTAACAACAAGTATATTACGAAGAGTGTTGAGAATCTGTTGCACTTGCTGCAATGATTATTTAGATTCTAGATGTCCAGGGGTACTTCACTTGCAGATCATGTGAACAACTACACAAAGTTATTATCGAACTTGGCGAATATAGATGAGAAGTTATCAGATGAGTACAAGGTGATCCTTTTATTAGTCTCATTACCAGATGAGGATTTTGATACATTTATGCTCACATTGTTAAATGGTAGATCTTCTATCACCTATAGTAAAGTGACTAATGTATTGACGAACTTTGATTTAAGGAGGAAGGATCTTTCAGAGCTAGCACTTTAGGAGAAGCCTTGTCGACCAGAGGAAGGAGTCCCTATCCGAGAGGTGATAATCGAGACAGCTCAAAGTCAAGAGGCCATTACCAGATTGCGAAGAACTAGTGTGCTTTCTGCAGAGAACAAGGACATTGGAAGAGAGATTGCACGAAGCTCAGAGAGAAGGAGAATAGCAAGAAGAAGGGCCCGAAGGCCAGTGAGGTGAATGTTGCTAAGAGTGGTAACGATTCCGACGATTCATGGTTTTCTCTATTGATTACTCCAGAGATTAACCATGCAGAAGCATCAGATTGAATGCTAGATTCTGGTGCTACTTATCATGTGATTCCTCGAAGAGATTGGTTTGCATCTTTTGAGAAACTTGATGGAGGTGTGGTGGTCATGGGAAATAATTAGTCTAGTGGCATTTGTGGGATAGATACTGTCTGGATTCGGATGCACGATGGAGTTGTGAGAGAACTAAATGAAGTAAGATTTATTTCTCAGCTGAAGAAGAATCTTATTTCTGTTAGAGCTTTTGGCGTCAAATGGATTTAGGGTAACTTTCAAGAATGATGTAGCTAAAGTTACTAAGGGATCATTGGTTGTAATGAAAGCAGTTCGCGATAGAAATATTTATTATTTGAAGGGAAGTACCGAGATTGG